AAGGGAGCCTAACAGCCTGGCTGCCTTCACACAGGGAAAGGAAAATACACAGAGAAAGACAATGCTTCTTTTAATAAACCCTACCAAATATTGCGAAGTTATATCAAGAAAATGTCAGGAGGAAAGTCTTAAGCCAAAACTTAATGGCAGATACTTCTGAGTAATAAAATGAATTGATTTGTTTTGTTCTTAGTTTCTAAATTTCATGAGGTATTGTTTATGTTCTTTTTTTATGGTAAAAAGAATATGTCACAGAATTTACCAGTGCAATCATTTTGAAGTGTAATTAAGTATTGTTCATCCATCAGTATTAGTCTTACCTCTAGGATTTTCTCATCATCCCCTGCCACTCTCAGCTCCTGGTAACCGCTATTCCATAGTTTCTTCTGAATTTGTCTGCATCGTGCTAAATGAAATAAGACAGAGACCTAAGGCCACTTGTATATCCTTGATGTCCAGTTTGTTTCACCAAGCAGAATGTTTTCAAGATTCATCAAGCTGGCCGAGGTCAGAGTTTCATCCCCTCTAAGACTGATTAATATTTCATTTTGGAAATAACCATGGTTTGTTCATTGTCTGTTGATGGACCTTTGGAGCTTTCCTAGCTTTGGATTGTTGGGGACACTACTGTTACCAACATTGGTGTGCAAGCGTCTCTCTTAGTCCCTGTTTTCAGCAGTTGATCTTGTGGGTCATGGTGATTCTGTGTTCCATCATTTTCCACTCCAACTGCACTGCCTGAGAGTTCTAGCCTCTCATTCTTGTCAGCATTTGTTATTGTCCTTGTTTATTATAGACATCATGGTGAGTATGAAGTGAATTCTTTCTTTTTAATATCAGAAAAAGCTAATTAATAGTGTACAGCAACCAAGAATGAGGTGGTAATTAATTGTGTTTGGGTTTTGGCAATATGAATGTAGCCCTTTACAAGCTTCTGCTTGTCGTCATCTGTTGTAAGATACTTTTTGCTAGTTGTTTGGTTTTTTTTTTTTTTTAACTTTTGTTTTCCAAGATTTTTACATTAATTTAGAGTTTTAAAAAATAGTCTTAAAATATTATATATCCTGATTGCTTTTTATTATCTTATTTAATCTTGTGCCAAAGCTAGGCCTCTGACTTGCTTGGTCACCCTAGATGGGTCTTGCAGCTCTTTATAAACTGGAAACATGAACGGCGCTAACACAGCTCAGCTTTGTGCCTGAGGCTTCTGTAGGTCAGATCCATGGCATCAATACCCACACACATTTCTGTCCTATCTTTCAGAAAGAACCTGCAGGCTGTGTGCAGGACAGACAGGACAGAAATCACTTAGGATTTTTAAAATTGTTCTTGAATTTTACCAAGAGTAAGGGTACATGCTCACCCTTGCATGCCCTTATAATTAGGTTTAGAATCTGACCGTGTTTATTTTAACTTTTATATAATTCAGATGCTAAGATTTGAGGACAATACAAATCACATCAGGAGTTTGGAGGCAGGAGGGATGTTTGCTATCAAAGACAAGAAGGAGTGTTCCCTTAGCTGTCAACACCTTCATACAGCAACCAAAACAAGGAATCTCCCTTGGTATACTGATAGCCAAACTACAACTCCTTATACAGGTCATCAAATGTCCCACTAATTTCATTATTCTGTTCTGGGATCTGATCTGGTGTCTCGGAACTTAACACTTTTAGACACTGAGTATTTCCTTATTTCTTAGCTTAATTGTATCAGATGCCAGGACGATTGAAGACCACTCTCTGGTTTTAGAAAGTGATAGGACTGTAGGGGCCAGGGAGGTTTCCTCTCTGTCCTCTGACTTCCCACTGGAATAACTGACAGAAAGTATTAAAGTGCACAGGGAGAATATCAGCATCTCAGTGTGGGGGCAGTCCTAGGGATATGGTTTCCCACTAGCCCAGCTCTGTTCTGAGGCTTATACACTTTGCTGACAGCAGAAGGGAGTGGAGGGATGTGGACTCTTTGAAGAGTTATTACCAGGCAAATGAGACAGATGCTGCCTGTGGACCTTGAATGATCCCAAAGGGATGCATACTGCCCTGTAATGGAAGTCTGTACAGGTATGGTTATACTTCTTCAGCCTTTTCCCAAAGACATGGGATTATTTTCCCTTTTGCAATCTGTTTTGAATACAGATAAAGTTCCAGAGGTTCTTCCTCCTCCTGGATAAGCAGACAATATGCTTCTCTTTACAGCAAATAGAGACCACCACAGAACACTACACTGAGCACAATGCAGAGATTAATGTATCATGGGGAGCCCCAACCCAGTGGGTACATAGACCACAGCTCTTGCAACATCAGGGAACGTCATGGAAAAGGGGGCAGAAAGATTATAAGAGCCATGCTACTAGGAAGTGTGCTGTCAAACCATCTATTATAGGAAGGATTGCATACACAAGGCCTGGATAATGGCAGTGTCAGTAGGCTTGCTGATGAGGAAGGGGGGAGTCTTTCGGGGTCATTCCCACCCCTGGACAGAAAAACTGCAGAAAGAGGGAGAGTTCTCACATCCCAGGGATGATCCCCGTCAGTCTTGAAACCATACACACACACAACAAAAACGTGCTCATCAGGTCGCATGTATGGCTCTGTGCACACGTATTAGGTAACGGATGATCAGAGGAGAGGCTCCTAATCTGAGAGTGAGGGGGAACATGGGAGGAACTGGGGGGAAGGGACCTGAGAGACTAGAGGGATGAGAGGGAGGGGGAAGTGTTATGTTTTAATTAAAAATCTTTTTAAAATCCTTCCATTGAGTACCATACCCAAAACTACCACACAGCATTTTTCAAGTATCATTTTTAAGGCCCGGAAGAGTCTGACTGAGTCTGACCTGTCAACCCAAGGTAGTGTAATTCCGCCAGTTATTTTGGTCATGTGGTCATGATGAACTGCAACTGGTATAGCAAGAGCCTAGTAACAGTCACTGTCTTTGGACTTCATTATTGCTGTTGTTTTTGTTTTGAGACAGGGTACTATGTAGCCTAGGCTACCTTGAACTTGCTGTGTGACTGAGAATGACCTTAATGGCTGATGCTCTTGCCTTCACCTCTCAAGTGCTGGAATTTTTAAATGAGGCTGGCCAAACAGGACTTTAGAGTGGGGGCTGATGATGCCAGCGAGATGAGCCAAGTTACTTAGGTGACTTTTGGGCCATGCATTACCAGTTTGCTTAAAGATGGAGTTCCAACATAATGACATCTTTTAGTCAAGGCTATATGGTGAGGTTCCAATCAAAATTCTGAACATGGATGTGCAGGTGAGCTTCCTCGGTTGTTCACACTCTAAGCACATTGCTGAACATCAAGCCAGCCTGGGGAAAAACAAAACACAGCAACCACAGAAGGGTCAAAAGTTAGGGGCTGCTGCATTCCGGCTCCGTCCAGGCCATGATCGCATGACTCTGGTCTGGCAGAATGATACCTTAGGCTGGTAGCTTCCTTCCACTTGGAGTCTTTTTGGATCTTGAAGGACACTTCAAAGCAGGCCAACTAAAGCAGCACACCCAGCCTGGGACTACAACAGCAGCTTTGTGTTTGAGCCTTCCAGACTCTGCCCTGTGCCCTTCTTGGCCAACTTTGATCTGTGTCCTTACCCTGTGATAAACAAAACCACAAGAACAACAGCTTTCCCGAAGCTCTGGAGGCTGTCTGGCAAACTTCACTTCAGATGAAGAGTTTGGGCACCTTCAACTTGCAACTTTTTTAGACGTTCAAGGGATTGTGTCCTCAAATCTACAGGTAGATTAATACTGGGCACTGAGATCAGTGAGAGAAAAAGATGAATTCCTTTTGCTGTTTATAAACACAACTGCATTTCTTTTTAAAAACAAAACAAAAATTCGTACCTTACCACCAAAAAAAAAAAAAAAAGTGATGTGTCGAGTGGAAAAACTTTAATAATATAGAGAATAAGAAGTCTTGGAGTGGAGAGTGGGAAGGTCTGGAACTCATGGCTTAAGCAGATTTGCATGGGAGCCTGCAACTTAAGCACAAGAGAAATGAAAACACACACACACACACACACACACACACACACACACACACACACACACATTGTGTGTGTGTGAAATTACATACTGCCGTAGATTTTACTAAATTTGTTCAGTGAATGCGATGGTGGTAGTGAATGCCACAGCACACTGGTGGAGGCCAGAGGACAGCCTCCAAGAGTCACTTGTGTTGTGTGGGTCCCAGGATACCCAGCACATAATCTTGAGGTGGACAGCAAGAGCCCTTACCTGTTGAGCCTTCTTTCCGGCCCAGTAGCATTGTTTTGTTTGTTGGGGTTGGTGGTGAGGAAGTGATGCATGAAAAAATAAAATACAGTAGGATACAATCGGCAGTAACAAGAAATTAAATGCTGTTAGGCATACTATGGAAGAACCTTTAAAGTTATGCTAAATCAAAGAAGCCAGCACAACAAACGGCATATTATTAGAACTCCATTTTGTATGAAGAGGCGAATCCAGAGACAGGTTTGTGATTGCCTAGGACTGGGCACGACGTAAGAGGAAATGGGGTGTAACTGCTCATGACTACAGAAGTTCTGTGGAGGGCGACAAATTGATTGTGGCGATAGTGAGACACTCTCTATTCTAAAAACACTTTGAATCGGTGTTCTGGTATGCGAATTAAATCTCCGCCGCGACGGCTGGTTTTCGATTGCATCTGCCTTGATAACAAGGTGAACACCGTCCTCAGCGAAACTCAATCATCACAACTCCCAGCCGAGGCGCACAGCGAAAGTGAGCCGCGACCGTTTTCTAAGTGCGCCAGGAATATACGAACTGGAACCTGGGATCTCAGAGTGGAGTCGCGGGACTTTGGCACGAACAAGATCCGGAGATCCGAGAGCCACCGCTTGCAAACCTCCCACGACGTGGGCGGAGGGCCCACGGTACGCGTGCGGAGCCTGCGCAGCCGAGTCTCGACGCTGGGGGGCGCGGACCCGGGAGCCAGTCCGACGGCGGAGGCCGCCCCGCCCCGGCTCCTCCTCTTCCCCTCGCCGCGGCGCCGCCCTCGCCCGCAAACCCAAACACTCCGGGCTGCCGGTGCGCGTGATCTCCCTGTGGTCGCTCGGGCCGAGAGATGCTGCTGCTGGCTGCCGCCGGCCTGGTGGCCTTCGTGCTGCTCCTCTACATGGTGTCGCCGCTCATCAGCCCCAAGCCCCTCGCGCTGCCCGGCGCGCACGTCGTGGTGAGTGGCCTCCTGTTGCTGAGCTTGCCCGGGGCGGCTTGGCCGGCTTGGGCCACCGAGGCCACGGCCCCGGGAAGGGACGGCTGCGTGGGAAGGGTCAGCGGCCACCGTCGCCCCGGCACTGCCCTGCCCTTCCCGGCCTCGGGAACCCGCCCTCGGCGGCGCCGGGCTCCTCCCTGGGCTGCAGAGCAGTGTCACGGAGAAGGCGCCAGCCGAGTTCCCCGGGCTCGGGGGCTCTGTGCCGCTCGCTGCTCCGCGGAGCATCCCTGGTTGCGGCTGTTTGGGTCTTCAGTTTTCCCGATGAGTCAGTCAACAGAGAGACTGAGAAACTTTGCCAAGGACACAGCGGTCGGTGGCTGGCTGGATGAGGGCGCGAACCCGAGTGAGAGCAGCCACTGCGAGGGAGTCCTAAGGAGCCCGCAGCAAGGAAGGGTCCGGGCCTCTGGGACTGACCCAAGCAGCTGAGACCGGAGGGTGGCATGTGCAGGTGACAGAGCCAGAGGGTTCTAGGAAGTGACTGAGGGGTGGCCTGGCAGCTTGGGCAGACAGGCTTGACTCTGAGCTCGGCCAGAGCCTTGCTGATCGCTGCTCCAGTGCATCCTTTACCGTCGGAAGGATGAGCTAACCAGCGTGGTTAGGGCCTTAAGATGGAAGGAGATATGAGTGGTTTGGTTTGTTTCTGGCCGGAAGCTCGCGCATTCCTAATGTGCAGGCTTAGTTATGCCTCCTCCCCTGAGTTCAGAGCTTCAACCCTGGCCATTTAAAATCCGTGTCTTGTGTGAACCCCCAAACCCAAGGCACAGGAGTTGTGAAGGACAGCTAGTTTCTAAGCTGGCAGTCCCGAGTGCCCATAGGTGACTTATGTGAATGCATCCAAGTGAGTTCCCACTCTCTGATTAGGGTGGCTATTTTTTGTAGTGTGCTTTGTGCCATACAGGGGTTTGTGGGTGACAACGTGTGTTCCCATTAATTTATCCTTTGTGAAATTGGCTTATTCCCAGCTGCTGCTATTCACGATGTGGAAAGAGTTATTAAAAAGAGAAGGCCAAACTTTACAATCATGCCAAGTTTTGAAAGTTTTATATCCACAAGAGACTGCTTCAAAATCATAGCTAAAAAGGTTGAATTAAGGGCTGGGGAAACGGCTCAGTCTGTGCAGGGCTTGCCAGTGCGTCAGGTCCTGAGTTGAGGACGCCAGCACCCGGAGGGTCAATGCTGGAGCTGACCCGTGGATCCCTGGAGGGCACTGACCAGCTTGCCCAGCTTGCCCAGACTGAGCTCCAGGTCCAGTGAGAAGCCTTGCCCCAAACATTAAGGTGGAAGGTGAGCGAGAAAACTTAAGACATTGACCTTTGGCCTCTGCACAGGTGCACCAGCATACACAGAACTTAATTGTTTCACAATTTGCTTACAAAGAGGAGTTCAGCTGGGGGAAAGGGGAGGAGAGCCACAGTCAGAATGAAAATTTTGATCCAACATTTACAAGGTACTCTCAGCTAACCTTGATGTTGTCACCCGAACAGATGAGATAATGGCTGCTTCAGTGGACACTAAAATCTTTCCCGGCATCCTATTTTAGTATAACAAATTGTGTGTGTGTGTGTGTGTGTGTGTGTGTGTGTGTGTGTGTGTGTGATTATCTCTGTGTATATAACTGTAAATGACGTGACATGGCATGAATTATGCATATGATGTCACCACCTGTCTTTTAATATCCTGAGAAGAGTAAGATGTGATGTAGCTGAGCCCTGTTATCAGGAGCGGGAGCTGCACCTTACACTGTCCACCTGTGTGTCAGCGTGAACAACTTGTAATTGCTTTCTGCTTCATTTTAGGGCAGTTCCCACATGCTGATGCCCCCTGTCTGGTCGCAGCAGTGAAGCTGTGCGGTCTTCTCACCCCCAGGTGCAGCAGGCAAACTCGTAGCGCCCGTAGTGAGAGCTGTATGCCGCGGTCAGAGAGATGGGATCACTTAAATGGTATCTGCAGTGATCAGCAAGAGGGAGTGTAAGGAAGGGAAATTAGACTGTTTGTTACCTTTAGTGCCCTCCGTCTGGCCTCTGTTTAGTGATTGGCAGGTGACTATACATTTAACATTTTCTCACCCATCGTGAAAACCCTGATAGCTCTCATAGCATCCAGAACAACACAGTCCAGAATTAGCCTGACTGTATCCTTACATGTCACTCAAGAAGTAGCTGGCTTGGCAAGAACATCATTTTTGTACACCCTGATCCAAAACCCAGGTCTTACTCCTGTTATGGAGAGCATTATAAATTGCAGGGCATGGATCTTCTGGTTTTCTTTAAAATGAATCAACACCATTTGCTTTCCTGAAACTCCTGGCTGGTATTTACATAATACTTTGGAGCATAAAAGTTTTCTTGGTAACCTCATTTCCACTTCCATCAATTTATTAAACAATAAATAGGGAAACTTCATTTATAAGCTTTGGCATCACGTTTTCTTTGTGGGAATGGCATTAGAGAACATTCTGCAAATTAAGGACAGTGTTTCTTTAGTACCCGGTTGTGCCAGGGGGCGAGGGGCTGGCATTCTCAGTGATGAGTGAGATGGACTGGTTTGGTATTTGTCCTCAGGGATCTGATAGCCCAGCCAGGAAGCCAAGAGTATCAGATAGCTGTGAAAGGTGCATGGTGACAAACAAGGAAGACCGGTGGTGTGCTCAGGAAAAGCTTCCTGGAGGTGGGGACAGTGGGGTCATGTGTGATTGAGGGATGCCAACAGCTAAGGCAGCATTGTAAAGCATGGGAGGACATTTTAGAGGCCCTGCCAAAGCAGCTCATAGAATATCCTGATATCAAAAGCCTCCCCAGAGACAGCATTTAGCCAAGGCAACAGGTACGGTTTTATAATAATCCTTAGTAGACATTTGGTTAATTATCTACCAAGTAAATCTCTCCATTAGAGTCAAGGTGAGGGTAAAGAGAAATGAGGTATTCTCAAGTACACAGAGATACATATCTACGCTTGGAGGGTTTCATGATGATATGAACATTATAGTGTGGGAGATGTTCTTTCTGCATAGTTTTAGAACAGTAAAATATTCACAGTAATCCAGATGTATAATTGGAAAATGACTAGGTTTTGACAGAGGTGGGTTTTGTTTGTTTTTAAGACAGGATCTCACTGTATAGCCCTGCTGTCCTGGAACTCACTATATAGACAGAGATCCACCTGCCTCTGCCTCCAGAGTGCTAGGATTAAAGGCGTGTGCCACTGCTTTACCTGGCCTTGATGGAACATTTTAAATGCAGTATTGTAAAGCCTTTTAGTTTCTGAACATTGACAGCATAACGTTGAGCGCGTGCGTCTTTGTTGGGATCAAGCCCAGGGCCTTGCCTCTGTGAGGCAAGAGAGCTCTTCCACTGGCCTTAGCCCTGTGACATGTTTCATAGACCTCGTCTTGTGTAGATGTGCAGGAAGGAAATGAGATTTGTTTGTATTTATAATCAGCAGCACTAATGTAGTCTTTCTTAGGTAGAACTGTAGGGCACATTCCCCTTGGTGACCTCAAACAATGTGCAGTTTGTAGCTCTGCACTGAAAGCAGTCAGAGGAGGCCCTGCTGAAGAATAATCCTTCATGCTTGCACTCTTCCAAGTGACAAATCTGCTACAAAGAGGTTGCGATTCTTGCAGGTTTATGGTTTGTTTTGTTTCTGAGGCAGGGCCTCATGCAGTCCTACTATCACGAAACTCTCCATGAGAATGACTTCGCCCTTAAACTCCCGATCACCTGCGGACCCTCAGCCACGTGCTAGGCCTGTGGCCAGCGCCACCCTACCTGGCTTGCAGATGAGTTTTTAAAACCCGTAGTTATGTTATCTATTGTATGGCGATCAAGCCCGGGCCATGAGTACTAGGCAAGTGCCCGCAACTGAGCTGCACTCCTCTTCCCGTCCAGCTGTTTTAAGTCGCTTTGTGCAGAGGAGTCACTGCTGAGGCGTCTTCCTGGTGTCTTTGTAGGTCACAGGAGGGTCCAGTGGCATCGGAAAGTGCATCGCCATCGAGTGCTTCAGACAGGGAGCGTTTATAACTCTGGTCGCACGGAATGAGGTAAGTGTGCCTGGGTCCTTGTGCCTGCCTGACTAACGCAGTAAGTCCGAGGACTGACTTGGTGCTCACACCTGTGTTGGGATGCCTTCCTCCCTGCTCTGAGGGGTGACTGCTGGACTATGGGTTCCTTCCTGTATTGAGGCCAAGACTTCTCCGCTGAGGTTGGATCAGCTCAGCAGGTTCTTGTTTACCGCTGTTAGCATGCCAGGCACTGTCATTCGAGGTGTACTGAACTTGGGGGAGAAGGAAGGCATTGTTAAGGAGCATGTCTTACTGAAGGCAAACAGATGTGCTGGCAGAAGCCAGTGCGGGGCGGTGTGTGGGTGTTTATCCCTCATTTCTCCCTGTAATTTGCTTATGACATGATAGGCATCTTTGGTGGCATCCACATGCCCCAGCGGAGTCTCATCCCTCCCAGTATGTGTAGCAATGTGTTTTTTCCTGTGTCTAACCAATTCAGGGGGCTGTTTGTCTTTATATTGGGGGTCTGTAGTCTTGCTGAAGTTGCTTTCGGAGTGTGAAGCAGTGACTGAAACCCTTTTGTTCCTTTCCGGGGGCTGGGGCAGTGACTGCTCTATGGTCACTGTTCTTGACTATAGAGGACAGGGCTTGCTTGGCTTGTAGCAGATCTAGACAGTTCTGTTGAAAGGAGGGACTTGGCACATGTGTAGTTGGCTGAGTGCTTCCCCAGGGTGTGTGAGTCAACTCCAGGTAGAACTCAGCATGAAATGAATGCCTATAACCCCAGCACTAGGGGGATAAAAGCAGAAGGATCAGAAGTTCAAGGTCACCCTCAGCTGTACAGCTCATTAGAGGCTAGCCTGGCCTATGAGAGACTCTGTCTTTAAGGAGAGGGAAGAGAAAATGAGGTGTGGTACCACTGCATGAGTGATTAGCTGCCTAGGTAGGGGTGGTTAGTTGAAAAGGCCTAGTGGGTAGCCGGGCAGTGGTGGTGCACACCTTTTAATCCCAGCACTCAGGAGGCAGAGCCAGGCTGACCTCGGTGAGTTCAAGGCCAGTCTGGGCTACAGAGTGAGTTCCAGGAAAGGTTCCAAAGCTACACAGAGAAACCCTGTCTCAAAAAAACAACCAATCAAAAAATAAAAAATAAAAAAAATAAAAAACCAAATTTCCAGTGCCGCCTGGCAAAATAAACATATGCCTTTAATCCTAGAACTCAGGAGGCAGAGGCAGGCGGATCTCTTGTGAATTCAAGGTCAGCCTGGTCTACAGAGCGAGTTCCAGGACAGGCTCCAAAACTACACAGGGAAACCTTGTCTGAAAAAACAAAACAAAACAAACAAACAAACAAAAAATGCATTGTAATGTCTAAAGTTAGCCCAGAGGTGTTGGTGCATGCCTTTAATCCCAGCACTCAAAGGCCACCAAGAAACCCTGTCTCGAAAAACCAAAAAAAAGGAAAGGCCTAGTGGGCAAGGCAGGCCAGAAAGAATCTCTGGAGAAAATGATAGAAATAAGGATCCAGAATTAGTCTAAAATATCCAGTTTCTTTTTAAAAACAAGAAGGGGGCTGGGCTTGGTTGTACACACTTGAATGTCGCCTAACATGAAAGGAGACACAGATGTAGTAAAATGCCGCTTGAGTTTTTAGCAAGGCTGGAATTTGACATGAGAGCATCCAGTGAGCAGGTGACGGGCTGGAATCACAGCTAGCGGGAGTGAGTGTGCAGAGAGCTTTCTGGCATGAAGACAGCCTTTAATTTCGAATATAACCTTTCCTTGCAGTCTGTATTCAATCCCCAGCATTCAATAGGAATGATTTTGTCATAGACGTTCATGTTTGTAAACTCTGCTTGTCCTTTGAAGATACCTGTCCCCTCCCCCTTTATTGTATCACAGACTGACAGATGGTGGCCTTGTCAGACTTCCCATTGGCCCACCTCTGTCTGCCTCCTGTGTAGCTCCAGGCTTGCGTTTAGCCTTGCTGGGGATTGAACTCAGGGCTTCGGGACCCTCCTCCTTTGTTCTTTTACAGCTCTCAAATTATATTTAAATCTATGACAAATTTAGGTTCTGTAATCTTGAACTTGTTTATTTGAAAATAACAGAACAAAATGGGGGACTTGGAAAAACTTGGCAATTATCTGGGTAGCTCTGTGCAGTATTTTATACCCAGAAGTATATCCATCCAGTCCTTCCAAAAAGTGATTGAGTTTTGCTCTGTTTTTTTTATAGGAAAGGAGGAAAATACTGATGTTATCTTGCATAAGAACTCTTGGTGTGCAGCCACACACCTTTAACTTTCCAGAACATTGTGTTGTGTGTGTTTACTCTCTGTCACTGCTAAGTACCGGCAGATAGCATCAATAGGCTGTTAGCATCAATAGGCTGGCCTTCGGCATGAGTGCTGTTAATCGGGATTTGAGGTTCGGTTATTTTTCTTTCACCTCTGCAGTGAATTTAAAACCATGCTGTGACTTATCCATAGCCTCACATATTTTGCCTCTCTTTCTCAAGCCCAGAGTTACTACTGTGGGTTCTGTTCCGCAGAGCGTAGTGTCAGTTCAAGCAGTTGCCTTTTCTTTCCTTTTGAGCAAATGCAAACAGACAGAATGTTTCTGTGTTGCTTTTAGGACAAGCTGCTGCAGGCGAAGAAGGAAATCGAAAAGCACTCTATTAATGATAAACAGGTAAGGTGGCGCCTTAGATTCATTCTCTAACCTGACTGACAGTTGTCTAAAGGGGAGAAAGGATGCTGCTTCTGCTGCAATTAGGTCACTGAAGGCATTTATGACTTTCCCAATTAAAATACATTTTAGGCTGCCTTTTATAACATGAAAGTGTTTGAAATGACTAGAATTTGGATCAGTCCAGAAATCAAAAGGTATGGACTTCCATACATACCTAAAAATGGCCAAGCAATGATGCTTGAGAAAATGATTTCATTTCAACTACTTAAAAAACAAACAAACAAAAAAACCTTGAATAACTACTTAGGTGGAAAGAACATATGAAGAGAAATTAGTTGTGTAATTTGGGGTACCAAACTGTACAGTGCAATGTGTATTTTAATGACAGATAAGTGCTGCACGTCCATCACCTAGTTTAAAGAAATGGGATGTATGACCCTCTCCCCCAACCTTTGTGCCTGATACCAGCCTCTTGTTCTAGAGGCCACCTCAAACTTGACCCTGAGGTTGTCCATTCTCTGCTTTTCTTTAAACCTTTACCGTCTATGGTAGTGTGTGAGTCCCTAAATAGAGTTTTGTGTGAGTGAATGAATACACCTGTGTGTGTACATCTGTGCTGACATGCATGCACATATGTGCATACACTTGTGGAAGCCACAGATCGACACTGAATGTCTTCCTTAGTCTCTCTCCATCTTAGGTTTTTGAGATAGGGTCTTTTGGTGAGCCTAGAGCTCATGAATCCACTCGATTTGCTGGCCAACAAGGCCCCCTTGGTTGTCTGTACATCCCCAGCACTGAGACTGTGTGGGTGCTGGGGATCCAGACTCAAGGCCCTCAGACGTGCATAACTAGCACTTGGCCAGCTAGCCACCTCAGCCCCTCAATAGCATGCTTATGTATGTATGTATGTATGTGTGTGTATGTGTGTACTTATTTATACTTATATTTTAAAGTTCTGTATCTTTTTGAACTTTGGCATTATTCTTATTTTCTTAACCTGCCTTAATGAGACCATTCTCATAGTGTGCAATTGCTCTACTTAAGACACACATTTCCTGAGTTTTCATACAGAGTTGTGCAACCATAACCACAATCAATTTTGGAATGTTCCCAACACTGAAGTCTCCATTCCGCCATTAGCAGTCAGTCACTCCCCATTCCTGTCCTACCCTCCTAGCCCTAGACGAGTACCAATAAACTTTATAGCTTGATAAATTGATGTGACATTATGACATTTTAATGCAGTGTTATGCAACTTTATTTCTTCGTTTTATATTATTTTTAAAATTCATCTGTGCTGCTGAATATAAAATAGCTCATGTGTTATTTTCTTTTTTGGAGATGATTCTTTCCATGGCTGTGCTGTCCAGGCTAGGCTCAAATCCCAAGGCTCAGATGATTCTCCCCTCTCCACCTCTTAACTAGTTATGACCATAGGCATGCATCCTAATACCCACCTTCACTGAGATGTACTGTTATTGGTATGTGATGTGCAGTTGTATGTGCAAACCGCTTCTACTTACCTGTTCTGTAGTTGGTGGCTATTTAAGTTGCTTCCACATTTTTGTGTTTGTTTATTGCTGTCATGGCAACCTTCATTGTGGTCTCTTTACACACATGCTCAAAAATGACTGTTGCTTTGGGGTCTGGGGCAAGGCAAAAAGCAAAGTTTCTCATCTCTCAATGGCTGGGAAAAAGGGGAGGGAGTCCTCAATACACACTGCCCTTCAAGGACACACCTCAGTGGCCTACATTCTTGCCTTTAGGCCCTGCTTCTTGAAGGTTCCACCGCCTGCCAATAATACCACGGACCAAGCCTTTAACGTGGCAGCAGAGATACAGATTTAGTCCAGACTTTCCATATGCCTGGATGCTCGCTGTGGCACCCACTGCCCTGTCCCTTGTCACAGCCCCGTGCCACCGTATTATTTTGTGGGTGTGTTCTTCCATTAATCACACCGACAGCAGATTTAGAACTCTGAGATTTTTTGTCCAAATTTGGCCCTCGTTACTGGAAAGAGTTGGCTTTAATTTTTAAAGGTATGCTTTACAAACGGTTTTGATAGACCAAGCGTTTGGCACCTGTAGCTTTGTCATCTCAGTGTTTGAAAGGCTGAAGCAGGGGGATCATTGTGAGCCCCAAGCTATCCTGGGCTGTATCTAAGTTCAAGACCAGCTCAGACTGTAACAAGACCCGGTCTCAAAAAAACACTAGTTTTGACACCTGCATCTCCAATAATATTTTTTATACTTTGTGTGTGTGTGTGTGTGTGTGTGTGTGTGTGTGTGTGTGTGTGTGTGTGAATGTGAGTAAGAGAGGGAGAGAAGAAACGAGAGAGAGAGGGAGAGAAAACAACTCGAAGATGTCGGTCTTCTGTGTTCTTCCACTCTGTGGGTCCCCGGGATAGAACTCAGGTCATCAGGCTTGAGGGAAGCACCCTTACCGGATGAGCCACCTTGCAGGCCCTGACCCTCTCCCCCTTCTCCCTTTTTAACAGGTGGTGCTTTGTATCTCAGTCGATGTGTCTCAAGACTATAACCAAGTGGAGAATGTCATAAAACAGGTAAGAGGCAGGTCGGGGTGATTTCAGTCACTGATTGACTTCTGGTTGCTTCTTATTATTTTGCTATGTGGCTTGGAGTTGGCAACTCTTCCTATAGGTTCAGTGGTTCAGTGGATTTTATTTACTGACCTTGTTTTTCTTCACAGTGAGTCTTTCATTCTGTCATGAAATGTTTGGAACAATATGTAATGTTCTGGACTATTCCAGGCACAAGAGAAGCTGGGTCCTGTGGACATGCTGGTCAACTGTGCAGGAATGTCCCTGTCAGGAAAGTTTGAAGAACTTGAAGTTAGTTCTTTTGAGGTAAGTGACAGGTGTTTGCTCACCTTGAGTCAAAATGATATACCTTTTATTTTAAAACAGGCCTGCCAAGAATCTCAACGACTGGTTTACTTTAGTACTGAAGAAATGGACTTTAGATTTGAAATCTAAGTGCAAAGCATTTTGTGGCTGGCAATGCATCAATCTTGTTTTAGTGCTCTCCTAAGCTTCCATCAGGGGAATGGGTTTTGAAAGCTTGACTCTGTTAAGTTCAATTGCTCTCCTTTCTTATAGAAAGCGAGACTGCTGGACCAGTGTCAGAACTATCTTCTTATTGACTGTAGGAAGCACCACACACTCATAGATGCACTCAAGGCTTGCAGGAAAGTCGAGGGTAGCAAAGAGCAGAATGGTAGGACCTGTGGGTCTGAGGTGCCCTTATCAGCTGAGCATACAAGAGGGTTGTTTATACTTACATACATTAATCTGGGTACAATGGAGGTGAGATTGAAAGATGATGTCAACAGCTATGTAAATAATCAATCTGGGAAAATGATTGTAGTCTAAAAATGAAGTAATAAAGCAAAAGACTTGGGGTCCCTAGAAAAAAGAGGAATGAGTGTGTGTGTATGCATATGTCTGCGTGTTTGTCTGATTTATGAGTATGTGTGTGTATGCTTAAGATGATGCCGTAAGAATGTTTAGAGTACTGAGAACGGGGATAAAGACTGGATTGGGGAATAAACAGTTAGTAAATTGAAGGCTGAGACCCTTGGAAGTAAGGTGTGTGTGTGGCAGGAGGAGTGGGCATGTTTACACTTGTGTCTGCGATGGCCATGCCGGTGTAACCACGTGGATGTTTTATGAAGCTCTGAGTAAAAATAGAAGCAACAAGGGTCTGGAGAGATGGCTCAGAGGTTAAGAGCACTGACAGCTTTTTCAGAGGTCCTGAGTTCAATTCCCAGCACCCACATGGTGGCTCACAACCATCTATTAATGGGATCTGAATGCCCTCTTCTGGTGTGCAGTCATACATGCAAATAGAGCACTCATACCAAAAAAAGGGGGTTGGGATTTAGCTCAGTGGTAGCACACTTTCTTAGCAAGCTCGAGGCCCTGGATTCGGTTCTCAGCTCTGAAAAAAAAAAAAATAGAAGCAACTAAGTGTGCAAATCTAGGTGAGTGATGGTGTCACTGAAGAGGAGACACAACCCATTGCTGGGGTGATTCAGCGGGTCCCAAGTGGCTTCTTTGGGTGACATTTCTGAGATTGTGCTCACTCATTCTGGCCTTTGCTCTGATGTCTTTTCCCTCCACGATTTTGCCTGTAATGAATCCTCTACCACTGTATGCTGAGGACCTCGGGGCCTTCTAGTGAATGACCAAGCCTGGGACGGTCCCAAGGAGCCCCCATGGCCTTCTCCTCAGTCTCTTCAATGGCCTTCCTCCTGGTTTCTTGGAACCGCATCTCATTTTTCCTGTGCTGTGAATGTTGAGTCATTTTGGTTCTAAGGAATTGCTCCTTTTTGAATGTGTTTGTTTCCTCGGAGAGGCTCGTGTTGTGTTTTGTATTGGAGGCTTCACAGGATGTCTGCTGACCCCTGCCTGTGATTTCACGTTGTATTGAATGGAGAGTTCTGTGCCCACGGGTGGAGCTCTCTGTAGGGTGATGGCTTGGGCCATGTCTTGTTGGGCACTTTGGGGTCAGTATCTGTAGGTCTTTCTCCTTGGATTTATCCAAAGCCCCTAAGAAGTGACCTAGGCTTCTGACTGGGAAATGTCTGCATCCCCCAGTGTTAGAGGAGAGTCTGCATTCAGTGTCTAGACAGATGATCTAGGTAAATTAAGGTCTAACTCACGTAATATATGTCAGTCCTTTCTAGAAGTTCTGTCTTCTTCCAGGCAGGATACCCCTAAGATCTAACTGGGTTTTGTTTTGTTTTTGTTATGTCAATTTCTAAAAAGTGAACTGAAATCCATATAAAATAAAATGAAGTGTGTTTGTTTGAGACACCAGACTGGCCTCCGCCTCACACTTCTCCTGCCTCAGCTTCCTAAGCACCGCCGTCACAGGTCTCTCTTCTGTCCCCTAGCAAAAGAGGCTATTTTAGAGCGAAGGGAGTTAGTGTATTGTGATGCTGTGTAGCTATCTAATTCCAAAACATTTTTGTCTCCCCAAAGGATACCCTATACTTTAGTCAGTATTTCTCATTGCCCAAACCCTTATTCCAGTCCTGGCCACGCTAATCTCCGTCTGTCTTGCTGAATAATAGAATCGTGTGGTCCTCTCTTGCGTCTGGCTTCTTGTGTAGCATCACGTTCTTAAGGCCCCTTCGTGTGGCGTGTACATCGGTGCTTCGATCGCCATTCTGGGGGCATACTGCATGGGTTGGCCTGTTTAGCGTCAGTGGCTGTTTGGACTCCTTTTGCCCGACCCAGCCCCACCCCAGAAGCTCTGGGTTTCGTTTGAGCCCTCGGGGGTTGTGTTGTACACACTGCCGTCCAACATCCGGTTTCTGTGCCTCCCAAGTGTGCCGCCGCCGCTTGGCGCTCTGTTCTCCAGCTTTCAAAACGTTGTTGCTTTGCCTTTCATTTTTATTTTCTTCTCTTAAAAAGGGGCGGGGAGCTCTTAGCTGGCCATAGTGGCTCATACCTATAAGCCTAGCTGTTAGGAAGATGAGGCAGGAGAATAAGCATGAGTTTGAGGCCAACCTGGCCTATGAAGTGAGTTTCAGGCCAGCCTAATGTATCTCCAAAACGGACAAATAAACCTACTGTTTACTGGTATTTTAGTGGGTTCTCTAGAAAGAGCTGAGGTGAGCAGGGGTCTTATTCTTCCTTAGATAGTTTTTGAGGTTCTTACTACTAAAACAGTATAGTGTGGGGTTGGAGGGATGGCTAGGTGGTTAGAGTTCCTGCTGCTCTTGCAGGGGACCCAGATTCAGCTCTCAACACTCATCTGATAGCTCAACTGTGACTCCAGCGCCAGGGGATCCAGTGCCCACCAGGCACACACATATATGCATACAAGACACTCATATACATAAAATAAAAATGAAAGTATTTAAAATTAAAACAATACAGTGATATTAAAGCATATTCTGAAAAAAATGCAGGAATCCTAGTGTCTGAACATAATCAGTATTTTCTGGTTATTTTTGGCTTTTGCCAAATATGGTCTACATATCTCCTGCCGACTACTTTTTAAAAACTCAAGATCATAAATCTTTCCCCCTCACTCCTGTGTTTCCAGTTCCTTAAAGTTTTCTTAAAGTTCCTTAATATTCTGCCACATTGTTGTCATGGTTTGTGTTTAGTTTTGCAAGGTGACAGGTACAACTTTCACTGTATACCCTGTGACCATCCTCAGGGTCTCAAGGTGACAGGTACAACTTTCACTGTATACCCTGTGACCAT